TCAATATCGCAACCTCAATTTAAAATATTTAAGAAAAGAAGGTTTGCTTCTGGATCTCTGGGTGTAATTATTTCTAAAGATATTCTAATAAGTTGGATGCAGGTTCAATATCAAGTACATAGATTGGGCTTCCTGTGCGGTTCGCACGAGCAGAAATATAACTTGCTGTTTTAAGAATCTTACTAGGTTTAAGGGTTTGTCTCCTGTTTGACTTGACAAAACAAAGGAATGCAAGAACAAAAATACCCACACACCTTACCTTCAGCCGCTGTAATGTCTGGAGGAGAGCCGAGTGCCTAAGAACTGCCAATAAATAGGCCAATTCTTTCAGTGTTACTCTAGAGTAGATTCATAGAATTCGCCTCGTAAAACAGTGCAGAATTACCTACGACTTGATCTAAATCCTTTTTGTCTTAGCTTCATAGTATTTAATAATTACCAAAACGGGTAGGAAAAAAACACTTTATCAGAAATACTTAGCATAATCATGTCTTCGTTGATCTCACTGGTGCCGGTTAGTCTTTTACACTTTAGCGGCAAATTCACCAAGTGAGATACGCTATCGTTTCTTTTAATAGCTATTTAAGCACCTTTTTTACGTTACGTGATATTCATGCAGTTGCGATATCTCTAAATCTAAACGGGACTATCGCTAGGCTAGATCTACTTCTGCTCGCTGGTTTCAAATCTTTCTCGAAGATGTAAGGCATATGTGTTCTTCACTTTTGAATTACCATATTATTCAATCCGCATGTTGCTGCTAGTTTTTTGATTGTAATTCTTGCAGTACAACAAAATATGAATATTTTACGTCAGAAAATGCTCTACCGTTCCACATTTAAGATAACACTCTAACAGATAAGAATAAATGGAGTTCCAAGTCATTTCTTTGTCAAGAAAGGCTAGACAGTCAGAATGGAATAGCATCAGTATTAGCAGCAGCAGTGATAACCTAAAGAACACACTCATTCCTTTACAAATCCACATGGGTGGGTCTGAAGGATTTAGATTAAAATATCAAGGGATAGTTCAACTAACACTATCCAGAGTTACAAGCCTTCAAAAGCATCAAATATTTACAAAGAATGTACAGTTAGTAAAAACAGGCATCCCTTTGAAATATAAATTCTCTGTAAATTTTCGACACTTTACAAACCTGATTTAAACCATTTCAAATGTGCTTTGCTCATTTTTTAAAATAGCCAATTACCTTAATTCGTAAAATAAATATTATTAATAACAAACTCTACAGATATATAAATATACAAAAGAATTTCCCCAAGTTTCCATTTTTTTTAGCTTGCTCTATATTGCCGATGAAAAACTGCCCTAGGCTGTTAACATATATTTGTTACCAGAAATTCACATTATAAAAGCATTTACCCAAATGAAAGCCGTTGTAAGAAGAAAAAATCATTTGTGAAGCAAAGTTTAGATGAAAGAACAAAGAAAATATCTAGATTTTGAAGTTTTTCACACTCACTTTACCACAGGAAGCTTATTAAATAAGTGTTAGATATGTGATACATCAGAAAGATCTAAAACAGGCCATTAGCAAAATTGTTTTATTATTTATCACTCCATGTCTACAAATGGGGGTCACTGGCATTCTAGGACCCCATCTGTGATGTTCTTGAATGTACTACAAAATGTTACATAGAACAGTATAATCCATGATAATAGACTGAAGCTTGAGCTATGAAAAAACACTGGTTTTGTTTTCTGTATGTGAAATGTTATTACTAAGTTTATGTGCATTCATTGAGGTTTTGCAAGTTCACATGACAAAAATAATATTGCAAAATAATTAGAAAATGTGTTAAAAATCGCATAGCTTTAAAGACCATAGCAAATTGAAAATTTAAAAAAAAATGTTTTGATTCAAAATGTTTAATTAGTAAGATTTGATTACATATGCAAATGATTAATGATTTTTATTTGCATATGTAATCTTTTTCTCCGATTATGAGATTGGAGCATAAAATTAGTGAAGACTTGCATGTTTTATTTATATTTTCATTATCTTGGGCACTAGAGTGACCACAATAAATCCGTGAAATAATTACTAAATAGTACAAAATAATTAACAATAGAAAATGGAATTTGCATGAAATTGTGCTATTTAGTGTTACTAAAGTTTCACAGATTTACTGTGGTCACTCTATTAATTGCAAAACCAAAATCCTAAAAAAAGGACTCCTCTTCCAGATTTCAGTTTCAGATTTCGCCATCTTGAATTGGTAGGCACATACCTTCAAGATGTGCAACACAACTGAAGTTTGAATATTGTAATTTATATAGACTTCAATTTTGTTTTGTTTTGCACACTAACTAGATTAATAGAAAATGACAAAATCCAGATAAATATGATTGCACATGCATGCAATAAAAGTCATTAAAAACTCATTAATAATTCATGAACTAGACAACACAACAGAAATCATGACCATGGAGGGGATTTTATATCTGATATAGATTCATCTTCATTTGCATAAGCTTTAACTTGGATTTTCTCTATCAATCTTGGTTCATTTCGTAAAGAATTCAGTACAATATGAGAGCATACATCATGAGTTTTTTAAGCCGTTCAATAAACTCGCAGATTATGTTTCGTCAGGTCTAAAAACACTCGGCTATGCCTCATGTTTTTAAATCCTGATAAAACACTCCAGCAAGTTTATTAAACACTACTTATAATTATGTTCATGCATGTGTAAAACCACATGTGTTCCTGTTTCTATTTAATTAACAATTATAAGGTCTTCAAGTAGTCTTGTCATGTTTAATTTTGTTTTTTTGCTTATCATATGACCATGCAAAGACACTATTGGTGTTTTAGACAAATTTCAAGAGAGATTCATCTTGTACCATGTTCAGCTAGACACTCTGCCTTATTAAGACAGAGTCTCAAGCTGTCTCAAACACCAATTATTTGCAATGACCATGGAACAATGACATTACAATTTTGTTAATTAATTTCAGTATGATCTTTCAGTTGCAAAATAATTGCATTGATTTGGCTTCTTATATGATCTTCTTTTGCTAAGAAGTCTGTTTCACATTCCAAAGATAGAACTTGCTTTATAAAATTGCTGTAATCATTTTGAAACTAGATTTTAAATAATTTTAACAAACTTTAGTCCTTATAAAACAGCAGGAGAGTTTAACAAGGCAATTTTGATTTCTTATTTTTAGTTTCAGTTTTTTTTCTTTTTTTCTTTTTCTTTTCTTTTCTTTTTTTAAAAGCGTGGTTCTTTTTCCAAGATTATTCTTTTATTATAATTATTCTTTTATTGAATTCACTCATGTTGATGATGATGTCCAAGACGTCAGTACAGTGGATATCTTTTTTATTTAGCATTGTTTAACTATCTTATGGTATCTTATCCATCATTCATAAATAACACACACATACACAAACACAAAGGAAAAACTAGTTTTAATATCTATATTTTATTCAACTTACTAATTAATATGTTTAAACATCAAACCCTGAATGCATGGCACTCCCATCAACATATATCAGTTGGACCAGGAGTGATGCACTAGTTCTTTTTTAAGATTTCAAAAGATTTAATATTTATTTAAAATTTATACACCATTATAGCAATAATATTGAGGTCAAACAAAAGTACCACTGACTGTGTTTATTGCTATGCACGGACACAATGTTAGTCATGACAGGTTTAATGAATGAAATCTTTATTTTACTAAACCAAATGGCGATCCTTTCAGACACAACGTCTACTTTCACTTAGTCACAAATATATAACCCTTATTAAATAACTTGTTAGAGTACGGTTCTCAATTATACCTTTACCTACTCTAACCATCTATTTGATTGAGGGTACTGCTGATTTACTTATTATTTATTGCTCATTTATTATTTTGCTGAGTTATTGATTTAATTAGGCTATTATTAAAATAACCTGTTGAGATGCTTGTTTCAATCATTGTCATCGGACAACGTGCCGCCATAATTGGACCTTGTCTGGTCATTTTCATCGGTAACATTGGGCCAGAAATGGGATATGACTGGGCTAAACTAATTTGGATAGTGATCAAGACTGGCAATTCTGACCAGCTGTAATTGTAAGCCCAGAGCATGTTGTAAAGGAAACAGTAATTATGATTTTTTTAGAATACTCTGCTAGATTGTATAGAAGCACTTTTATCTAGTCTTGGCATACCCTATATATCCTCCACTTTGCGTCAAAGTGTGTAATTAGTTAATATATCTGATAAATGAAAGCAGTCATGCAGCTATGATTATGATGGTTTTAGAGTTAGTAGGACAAATGATACTATAAAGCAACATCATTTTGCATTGACTGACAAAATTGCCTTTACTCTCTTTGAAATACTAATAACCTTTATCATATATATGATGTGGTTGGGCGCAGTTCTAAAATATTAAGCTACATTATTATGCATATATAATAGATACATCAAATGTACATAATATTTAAAACAAAAACTTTGAGTAATAAATTCATTGAAAAAAATGCACAGACCTATTTTAAAAATTCACAAGATGTGAATTCAATATTAATATTAAAACATAACAAGACATGTTGCCTATATTCATCTATCAAGCATAATTACCATTTCGTAAATCTTATTTCAAATTATTTTTTAGGAGCATTGAGAAATACCTTGATCATAAGATAAACGAATTCTTGGCCAAATGATTTGAGGTTGATTCCGTGAGGAAATAAACTTAGAAGCGCATATGTGCTTATCTCATGTAAATATATACAATGTATACTGGCAGAATTACTGAATGAATTACTGAATATGTTGGCTCGAATCCGCTAGGATTCGAAAATCCAACGACGGTCAAGAACAGCAAATATAAAAGCAATAAGTGACTCTGATCGAATTTTTCACCAACCAAACTCCATTAAATAAACTTTTCATTGTACTGAGCAAAAAGACTATTTAATGGTTTGGTATAACGGAAAACAGCTGTCAAACCATTGCAGTAAAAGCTTACTCACCAGCATATCTTGGCAATGTGTTTCTTCAACCACGTCTTGGCTTAGAACATAAGACTCTCGAATGTACCCCAACACTACGGCTGGAGTTTCTTCGAGCCTGGATAGCCACCAAGTCAAGCTATATCAACAATGGTGCACCGATGATTGTCGATCGGCTTTGTTCTTGAGACACACAAAAAGGTGGCTTCGGCTTCTTGCACTTCCGCTCAGATTCAAGATGGCGGCTATGTTGTTAGGTACCAGGCCATTATTGCTATCTGAGCCCGCGTTTCTTTTGAATAATGTTCTCGAATTATGACGCGAATGCATGTCTAAATAAGTGTATCAAATACAAGTAAGCTATTGTTTTCAACAATAGAACTTGACACTTTCTGTGACATTGACTGCGTATGTACAAGAATATGGCCAGGATTTTTCGACGTCAGATTTCTACGTAATACTATGCTGAATGTTAGAGTACTATACCTCCAATGATAATAGCGGAGCTCCCGCGCGGTCCGATGGCCCGAGCGAGCGGGGCACCATACTTAAGAAAAAATGGTAAACCATCGAGTTGATTTTTCATGGCTTGGCTGACGTCACTTGCGTCCGTGCGTCCGTCCGTCCGTCAAAGTACACAACACAGGAATCCCGCTTGATGTCAAAGAAAAAAACTACTCCCAAATGCGGCTCTCAAATGCACAGAAAAAATTGCTCTAGGACAAGTTATAGACCAAAAACAATTTTTAAAAAACTTTCATGTAGTCAAAGATGGATCAAGAAGTGTTCTTCAAGAATTCAGGTGTGTGTTTTTTAGCAAACGCGCCATCGTGTATATATATATATATATATACAGAAACAAAGCATTACTACGCAACAGCTAAACTACATCCATTAATTAATTATGTATACTTTTTCTATATAAATGATAGTAACGATTATTCTTATCATTAAATCCCCTGAAGAGTGAAGCAATTCACGAAACAGGCTTGTCGGGAAAAATGTTGTCTTGACTTTTTCTTCTCAAATAAATATTCTGCTCTACTTCTATCGATGTATTGAGCACTGTTCTACGGAAAGTTGATTCACAGATTTCTTATATATATATATATATACACACTTGATTGCAGAAAGGTTGTAGTATACATTTATACAAATACCTAATTCATTCAGCATATTTAATGATATGCAAAACAGAAAACTCGCTTTATTTATCATTTGTTTTCATTCAATGAACGTCAAAATATTTTATTCTCGTGTTTTACATCCTACAGATTATAAATCAACTGGTTTTGAGGGTTAGAAAAGTAAAATTGCAATATGCATGTCATTAGGTATTTGTATAAATGTATAAATGTATACTACAACGTTTCTGCAATCGAGTGTGTATATTTTGACAAGCATTTTCCTCGACGAATCGACGAATCAAACACTTTCTCTCAAAACTTTTTATATTTCTATCGATAAGCTTAATTTATTTTAATGCTGGAGGAAATATAACGCGGAGAGCATATTACGACAACAAATATTCGTCCTTTATTTAGCTTTGTAAATCTTTAACAATTCGGTTGTTTTTAACCAACTATCGTATGTTTTTCGTTCAAGAAAAATTCAGCTTTGTTCGTCTCCTATCGCGGGGTCCCAACGGCAAAACAAAGAAGACTTTCATTTAATAATTTTATATCTTTCTACAGATAATTTATCTAATTATTGAATGAAATATAAATTTTTACCAAATATTCAACTGTTTATTAAGCTGTTCGATCAAGTACGATTATAAAAATGAGCTTATATTTGTGTTGTTGAGAGATGTTATCATTGTAAAAAGACCTAGACTTTTACTTTAAAAAGCTGAAAAAATATTCAAAAACATTTATTTCGCATTGCCTTTTACATTATTTTCATTATTTTTTTTAAAATTTCAGGGTCCCCACTTTTCTCTTCCACCCCCCCCCCCTCCCCCCTCCAGCTTAACTAATGACCGGTCCCTAAAATTTTTATTGTTAAAGGATCTGTCATTGACTGGCTCTTGGGCCGGGTCGTTTACTGGAGAGGAAAAGCAATGAAAAATTCTCTTGTGTACCCATGACGTCACTACCATCTGCCCAATCAGGAATAGCATGCTAAAATAGCTTAGGCTTGCGCGCGGAGCTAAAAATAGGTTTTAAAAAAACTTTCATGGGGCACAGGGATGTGCTCTCTTATTCTCTTGCGTAAACAAATTACCGAAAGAAAAGGAACAATACCAATTGCGATTCAGCCCTTATAATTACTGTATAAATCATGCGTTTCTGAATAAACTCTAGTTTGATTGATATCAAAGACTGCAACAATGTTGCCTGCGCGAGTCAATAACTCGAAGCTTTCTTTCAAGAAACAATAATTTCTTTACAAACCCGGAGAATTGAAGACAAGGTAGAAAATATTTGTAAAGAAAATTGTAGAAAAGCTTGGCTTATTTTGGGGAGTAAATGAATGAAAATTTTCTTAATGAACAGCCCCCCGAAATGGAGGTAAAAATAAATATTTGATGTGCTGCCTTCGTCTCTTGAAGTGCATTTTGATTAATATCAATTATTCAAAGCACAAAAACTACCATCTCTTTGAGTTTCTGATTTTATTTGTAGTTCATTTGCTCATGATTACAACATGTATACAACGAAGTTATCACTCTGAAGACATTTCAGTTTTAATCTTTGAATTAATCACTATTCATTTGACCAATTTATCTTTTCTTTTTTGAACTACTGAGCTTTTAGTTAACTTCAGTTTGTCTATAACCTGTTATCAAGTTCTTGGGAAACAACAAATATCCAAGCCAAGACTGCAAGATTGTTTGTAGCCATGTCCACCCGGGCAGGAACCTCTCCAAAACCAATAATCCCCTTTATGATGTCTTGGGTCTAGAGACGTACCCATATAATGACCACCACAATGGCATGGAGTGGCCCTGATCTTGACTGAAATTAAAATAGTATCCCAGATGATAAGAAAATGCATCCTTAAAGAGGAATGAAAGAAGCAAGAGGCATTTTGTTTTAAAGAATTACAATCATTTAAGTTCACCTGCGAAAGCGTTGAGTATTTGTATAAATGTGTACTACAACCTTTCTGCAATAAAGTTTATATATATACACTTTAACATATATATACATATATATGTAT